CAGGTCACTTTCTGCCTATTGGATTGCCCTTTCCTTCTTTTTTTAAGATTTATTTTTATTATTATTATTTTTTTATTGGAAAGGCGGATATACAGAGAGGAAAGACAGAGAGGAAGATCTTCCGTCCGATGATTCACTCCCCAAGTGAGCAAAACGGCCAATGCTATGCCGATCCGAAGCCAGGAGCCTCTTCTGGGTCTCCCACGCGGGTGCAGGTTCCCAAAGCTTTGGGCCGTCCTCGACTGCTTTCCCAGGCCACAGGCAGGGAGCTGGAAGGGAAGTGGGGCTGCTGGGATAGAACCGGCGCCCATATGGGATCCCGGGCGTGCAAGGTGAGGACCTTAACCACTGAGCCACCACGCCGGGCCCGCCCTTTCCTTTTGTAGCTCCATTAACAGTGTCTTTATACATAGAAATGCATAGTCTTGTAATCAATAAAATAAAAACAAAACGGTTAATTCCTAGGCCAGGTAATCTGCACATTGATAGAGATAGCAACATGGAGTCTCAACCCCAGGGAGGTCATAATCTAGTGGGAAGCAAGACAAAGACAAAATTAAGACTTGGATTCTTCAGTAGATGTCAGCAGTGGATACCACAGATCCATCTAAAAGATAATCCCGGCATGATTAATAGGACTAATTAAAATTCCTGCCCAGAGAAGGAGAAAATAACTATTTCTCCCTGAAAGACATGTAAAAGAAGTCAATTTAAAATAATGTAACAAAATACTCAGAATGGTAAGTAAATATTATGAAGTACATACAAAAATATGCCTTAAGAATAGTAGTTCAGGGCCCAGCGGCATAGCCTAGTGGCTAAAGTCCTTGAACGCCCGGGATCCCATATGGCCACCAGTTCTAATCTCGGTAGCTCCACTTCCCATTCAGCTTCCTGCTTGTGGCCCGGGAAAGCAGTCGAGGATGGCCCAAAGCTTTGAGACCCTGCAGCCACGTGGGAGACCCGGAAGAGGCTCCTGGTTCCCAGCTTCAGATCAGCACAGCACCGGCCGTTGCGCTCACTTGGGGAGTGATTCATCAGACAGAAGGTCTTCCTCTCTATCTGACTTTGTAATAAAAATAAATAAATCTTTAAAAAAAAAAGAATAGTAGTTCAAGATCACCATCTGATATTGAAGAATCTGATTTTACTAAGAGATTACCTATAAATAAAATTTAATCAGATTTAACTTTATCAAGTAAAATAGATTTAGCAGTATACAAACAATATTGGTGTCAACCAAGAAGTAAAACAACATTATCCTTAAATGCTAAAAAAATAATGCATGCCGTAAGACCAGAGTTCACATTCATATGCACCATGCAGCAACTGAATGAATATAGAAAAGAAACACCAAAATTCTCAGAATATTCATCAAAGCACTATTCACCACAGGCCTAAAATATCCCAAATATAATGCTAATAGAATGAATAGATCAATAAATATATACATAATGTAGAATACTCCAACAAAAAAAATCCATCAGTATGGATGCATTTCCCAAATGTTTTCTTAGGTGGCAACAAGAGCAAGAAACACACAAAAATTGCAATAAAACATAATGGGTCGCAACTGTTTTTTTTTTTTTTAACACTTTGTACTTATGTTGGTTCACAAATACACGCACGGATTCAGGCTTGTGAATGCCGTGTTAATCTCATGAGAATCTTGTGTGCCACATGATCAAAATGACAATACTTGTTTTGAATATGCACAACTGTTCCCTATTAACTTTTTCACCAGTGTAGAAATCATTAAATTGTCTAAATATTATCAGTGATGAATACTGAATAAGCATTTCACGAGACTGCAAAGTGTACACTGAAAAGCATGTCATAAACAAATCAAGAAAACGTTACCTGTGGGAATACTGCAACCTTAACCCACAGGTATTATCATCAACTAGCATGAGACAGAGGACCACAGACATTCCTAATTTGGTTCAAACATTAGCCACTCTCCAATCACAAGCTAACACAGACCTTAGCTTTCATCATGTTTTGTGTTGGTTCTTTGAAAAGTTCAGAATCAATTCTACTACTAGTTAAATGAATTCATTTTTTTTAAATTCTTAAGTAACCCTACAGAAAACATGGATAATTTTCAATGAATCTGCTTGTGTTTCATTTTCTTATTTTCATGCTTCTAGCATTGACTTGTTCTGCAATTATTTCCACCCCACCTTTTTTTTTTTTTTTTACTGATTTTGAAATGCCTTCTTTCATAAGGCCATAGAGATATAAGAATTATGTGAAGCCCAATAGCTATAGCATTTCTCTTAGGGCTTAAATTAAAAGTGAATTTTTCTTTGGTATCTTTATTTGTACATGCAGTAAACAAACAAAAACAAGTACCTTAAATAAGTAAAAGTAGATTTACTTGTCTTCTTTTCTCTAGTTATTTCAGACAAAAAACAATACAGCAACAATATTTATACCCTTTTCAGAAAGCTGACAGAATTAGCTATTGCTTTTCAGAATTAATTATCGAGAAGTGCTAAAACCCTGTCTCTTGAAGCATCTTCCATCATGCTGAAAGCCCAAATCTCATGAAAGCTCTTTAAGCCAGAATGGGAAGCTTGTGAGAACTTTCCCAGCCAAAAGAAAAAAATAAAGTCAGCCTGGGGATGATAAACAAACTGAGCTTTCACTAACAATCAAAAAAAAATAAGCTCTATGCAATTATGATATGTAAAGATATTTCAAAGATTCAATTTATAGGCTTCTGACTTAACTCTAGAAAGTTGCTATAATTCATCATCAGTTTAAACTAGATTAAGTTAAACTACCAGCCTTACAAAAAATTGTCCTTGGGACCAGTGCAGTAGCCTAGTGGCTAATGTCCTCACCTTGCATGCACTGTGATCCCATATGGGTGCTGGTTCTAATCCCAGCAGCCCTGCTTCCCATCCAGCTCCATGCTTGTGGCCTGGGAAAGCAGTCGAGTGCGGCCCAAAGCCTGGGCACCCTGCACCCGCATGGGAGACCCGGAGGAAGCTCCTGGCTCTTGGCTTCGGATTGGCTCAGCTCCAGCCTTTGCAGTCACTTGGGGAGTGAATCATCAAACAGAAGATCTTCCTCACTGTCTCTCCTCCTTTCTGTATATCTGATTTTCCAATAAAAAAATATATAAATTAATGAATAAGTTTATAAGTAAAATGTGTCTTGCTCCTTACACTATTCTGTGTTGCTCTAGCCAATTCTGACCTTTATGATTCCATTGCATTAAATTTTTTAAAAAGCCACCATTTCATAACTGGATGGATAATGGCTTATTGTATCCTGTCATTGTTATTATCAGTGAAACTATACAAGGCTGCTCTGAGATGCCCTGAACCCAGAAGGTTGAATCAAGTTTGACAGCCTATGTCCGGGATGCATATCACATATTGACACAAAGGATTTCCTTCCTCACAGGCAGTTTACACGTCAAATATTTGGGGCAAAATGACTTTTATTTTCTACCTAAGAAAGAATGGTTCATAAAAATGTTTCTGAATTACTGATACCACAAAATTTGAATACGAAATAGATATACATTAATTATTAAATATTGTTATTTGTAATGACTAAGCAAATTAAAAATTTTTCTGTATGTCAATAAAAGCTATTTCAAATCAGATTTTTTAAAAAAAAAGGAAAGAAAGAAATTGGCTCAGGGCAATGGCTCAGTGGCTAAATACTCACCTTGTAAGCACTGGGGTTCCATAGGGGCACCAACCCGTGTCCCTGCTGCTCCATTTCCCATCCTGCTCCCTGCTTGTGGACTGGGAAAGTGGTACAGATGGCCCAAAGCCTTGGGACCTGCACACAGGTGGGAAACCTGGGAGAACCTCCTGGCTCCTGGCTTTGGATTAGCTCAGCTCCAGCTGTTGTGGATATTTGGGACTGAACCAGCAGACGGAGGATCCCTCTCTCTCTCTCTCTCTTCTTTTCTCTGTAAATCAGATCTGCCTTTCCAATGAAAGAAAATAAATGTAAAAGAGAGAGAAAAATGGCTAAAAAGAGATCTACCTTTTAAAAAGAGAAAATAAAAATTCAAGTGGTAGATAGTAACCACTTTCTGATAAATCAAAAATCATCCACCAATAAGTAATACTGCTACTCAGAGGACTGATGGCGCGTTTAACTGGAGTAAAACAATGTTCTTTTTCATTTTCATTTTTTTAAAGATTCACTCATTTTTACTGGAAAGATGAGATTTACAGACAGAAAAGAGACAGAGCTGGGTGGGAAATGGAGTAGTTGGGACATAAACCAGTGCCCATATGGGATCCTGGCATTTGCAAGGTGAGGATTTAGCCATTGAGCCATCACGCCAGGCACTGCTTTTCATGGTTAGGTTGTCTGCTTGCTTTTGTATCTTCCTTGTTCTGTTAATGCCTTAAATTTTAAAACATCATATACTTAACTCTATCATACAAAATAGGAATATAATATCATTGCAAGACATTTAAAATTTACTTTCTTGTACTAAGAGATAGTTTTAATTTTGGAGCAGGGGTTTTTATGATGCTATTTCACATATAAACTCTGTTTTGTATAGTGAGATCATGAAAAGGGATCAGTTGAATCATTTTCAATCATTATTCAGGCAGTGTAAAAAAAAAAAAGTCACAGAAAATAATCCATTCCTGAAGACCTTCAAGGGAGATTCATCGCAACTTTCTCACTGTCAGAAATTACTTTGTGTTACTCACTAATTCAAATCCATCACACTTAATATTAAGGCCACTTTCCCTTGTTCTGACTTCAATATAAGAAAAATATTGATCACCGTACTTTCACAGAGCCTTTCATATATCTGAAGATTTATTAGATCAATCCTTCTCCAATAGTGAGATTTTTAGTTCTTTATTGCTCTAAATTTTATTCAGCTCATCTCTTTCCTTGGAACTCCCTTCGTCTGCATTTCTAACTTTGGTGTATCACTTTTTAGTTGGCAAAACTTACAATACTGGGACAATCTGTAGACTTGGGATTAGGACTAGTATCAACTTTTCTAACTGAAAATGATGCAGTTAGTACTGCCACAAATTATGCAGTAGAGTTTCCCACATTTGAGGACATCACAGGGGCAAGCACATCCTAAATGCAATGGGTGAGCCTCGCCCTGGAAAATCCATCTGCGTGATCATGGTATCCCCCTGCCAGTTAATCAGAGTAACCACAGATTTCCACTTGTTTTTGACAACTACTTCTTTGTTTATCCTGCCACCTTTTCTAATTACATTTAAACTTCCCAGCTTTTCATTAGATTCAACCACACACTTGGAGCAACCTAGTATGTACTTCACTCACGCATTTAGAAACACAGTTTCCTACACCCTTAAAGAGCTGGCCTAAAACCTACCAATCATTATTTATTATTATCTAAAATACACTATCTACACTTAACGATACCCAACCAAACCCACAACCTACCTTTAATCCCAAACCAACACCTTAACCTACCTAACATCCACCAAACAATAAACTCTCTATCACCCAAAATTAAACAGTTGTCAATCTACCTCACCTCCACCACTTCCAATTCAAAATGAATTCATAACAAAACCCTCTATACCTACGCACTTATTTACACATCTCCACCAAACATTATATTCATTTCTCAATATACCCACAAAAACCAAATCTTCCCCTCCCATCCATCCACATTACTTCCAAATCCCCCTAATATATCCCTCCTACAACATATAATCTCAAACCCAACTAAACAACCCACCCCAACACACCCTCTCCTTACAAACCAACCCCAATCACCCTACCATTCATTAAATTTCTAAACTTTCCAACACATCACCAAAACCCCCTCATACCTCCTTTCCCTTTAAACCACCTTCACTACTTCTCACTAACACCATATTCTCATCATTAAACTCTTTTTTCTCTCTATCACCTCACGTATTTAAGTCTTTTATATTCATACCTCCATCCCACACCCACCCACCCACTTTACCCATCTCTCATTACCCCACCCTCCAATTCCTCCTCCTATTAAGCCATTCCATCTTCCACAACTTCACACCTTATACATACAATCCACACACCATCCCATTTAAATTCTTCCTCCCACCACTTCATTCCCACACAACCACTCCTTACCTAATCATTTACCATTCTCCAACCAACCACCCACTTCATTTCCCCGCCTTCCACCCCCATCCATTCTCTACCAATAATTGCCCATTATCTATCAACATAGTGTTAAGTGAATGAATGTGTTGCATATAACATATAGGTCTAGTTTTTTATTTGTTTCTTCATGTTATAGTAGCACACAGAAAACTAAAAATAAGAAAAGTGATTCGGCACTTAAAGAATTAATATCTCACTTTCCACTCACTTTCTTGATACTCTGGGGATATTTTTCCTTATTTTCAATTTTATTTAAAAATTAAAATCAGAAGTTAATTAAACTCAATGAATTTTTGAGCATAGAGTAATATTAACAAGTATGTATTTCTTATCACTAAGGGAATAAATTTTGTTTGAGAAACCTCAAGGCTAGCATCGACTTAGTGGTTAAGCACTGCTTTTCGCCTGTGCCCTATCACAGAGCAGCTCTGCTTAGAATCCAGCTCCTGTACCTACTCCAGACTTCTGCTAAGACAGACACTGTCAGGGCTCAGTAATGGGTTGGGAAATTTGGCTCATAACAGTGCTATGGAAGATATGAAATGGGTCCCTACCCTGGCCATTGTGGGCCATTGAGAGAGTCAGCCTCTCTCTTTCTCTCTCTGTCCCTGCCTCCCTCCATCTCATTTTCTTTCCTGACCACTCAAATATTAAATTTTTTTTCTTAGTGCCACAGAAGCTCATTAATGGAAGAGGGAAACAGATAAGCAAATCATCATCTATAAAATAATATTTGCAAATGCATTAACTATTTTCACACAAAGTATTAACAGAAGGTGAGTTATTCAAACATACCGAGGCTGCCCTTTTTCATCATAACTTATATAGACTTTAGCTGAGCAAGAAAGAACACTTTCTAGCTTTCCTCTTTTTCTCTTTTTTCTTTTGCTCTCCTCTCCCCTTCTCTCCTCTCTTCTCCCCTCCTCTCCCCTCCTCTCCCCTCCTCTCCCCTCCCCTCGTCTCCCCTCGTCTCCCCTCGTCTCCCCTCCTCTCCTTTTCTCTCCTCTCCTCTCCTCTCCTCTCTTTTCTTAGTGTGGATGTTCCATGAGTAAGTGACCAGCAGTTGATACAGGTCTATATTGATATGACTAGTATATATACACAGCCCCAATTATGGGTACTACTTCTTGTGTTACAGGAATAACTGAAATAGGAGTAAAGATGGAATAGCTATTTGAAAACATTTTCTGATTTTGTATGCAAGTTATACTTAGGCACGTTACTAAAAGTGAGTCTAGATTTCCGACACTAATAAAGAACTAACAAGCCTGTGGTTCCTACTTCATATGCACCAGGTAAAATGAAGGAAAAAGACTGGGCTCAGCACAATAACCCAGGGCCTAAATCCTTACCTTGCATGAACCTGGATACAATATGGGCAAAGGTTCGTATTTTGGTGGCCCTGTTTCACATCCAGCTCCTTTTCTGAGGCTTGCCAAAGCAGTAGAGGATGGCCCAAGGCCTTGGGAACCTGTACCTGTGTGGGAGATCCGGAAGAAGTTCTGGGCTCCTGGCTTCAGATCAGCTCAGCTCTAGCCATTGCAGTCACGTGTGGAGTGGATGAAAGGTCTCTCTCTGTGTATCTCCTTCTCTCTGTAGAGCTGTCTTTCCAATAAATAAACAAATAGATAGATAGATAGATAGATAGATAAATAAACTATCCCAATTCTCATGTATACAATATTTTATTTACAAGCACATACAAACATGAGAGCATATCCAGTTACTTTTTGTTTGTTTAACAAAATCTCATTTCTCTTTAGTTGAGAATTAAATCAATGTACTCTTCATATTGTCCCAATATTTGGTCATTCCAGATTGAGTGGGTGAATAAAGAAACCAAAATAGCAACTCTTCATTAATTTACTTGCTTATAATTCTTTTTCAAAGTATTCAGAATGCTAATACTCTAATTGGCCATTGATGCTCTGTGCAACAGTGCTCCCTGGAGAAAACCTAGGGTAGGAGTTTCAAAGTGTAACAATCAGAAGTCAAAGCCGCCATTAATGGAATGGTAAGAGTGAATTACCATGAAACAGATGTAAATAAATAAATTTTAAAAAGCTATACCATTTTAAAATTAACCATGTATTCATTAATTTACTTAAATCAGTACTCACGGTCTGTGATGTGGAAGGCGTGCGCCCGACATGGTTTTTATCAAACCACTTGACTTCCTTACTATAAATGTAATTTAGAAATCTAAATGCTAGCAGAGTGGACCCTACCAGGGGTTCTCATTGACTCAAGTACAAACTTTTTCCATCGAAAGGAAACATGTTTACAAATGAAGATCTGCTTGCTGGCTTTCATTAGGATGCGAGGCTTATTCATGCAGACAGTTGCAATTCAAGAAGTGACAAGTTTAATGTTGTGGTCCTTGTGGTGTCTGTTCACACACACAAGCACAAATTGCACCGACATATTAAAGGCCTTGTCTTGCTGGGGTGCCAGAGAACATTTCTCTGATAGGCAGTGTCATGATTTGATATACATCTACGTCTGCTGCCACTTCATCAAGTCAATTTTCTCTAGTCATAAATGTTTTTTTTTTAATTTCAGAGAAGCCATAATCATTTGTTAATGGAAAATGACATTTCTGTTCTTTTTGAGCAGGTACTGACATTTCGCCTTGAGCTATCCTAAAGCTCTTTTCGCCATAAATATCTTACCCTTCCTTAAATGGAGTTAAAAGTCATTCATTTTTTATTAAAAAATCACTGCAATAAAATCAAGGTTTTCCTAACCAAGGAGAAAAATTATGCTAACCAAATGTGTACATTTCATATAAAAAATGTTTGCAGACATGAAGTCTAAGTTTTTATCAAATCTTCACTTTCTTTTCCTAAGTTTAATAAGTGCTCTGAGAAAGCCCTGTGTTCTTGGAACAGCTTCTCTCTTCTCTGTTCTTTTATATTATATTTCAAATTAAATAAAGTTGAAGGTTCAGATAACTCAATGATTTTATAATCACTCAAAGTAAAACAAGTTACATTTCAATGATATTATTTTTAAAAGTAAAATAGTCTTTGTTGTCAACAAATACTAAATTCAATATTAAATGCATCTAATTTATTTTGTGTGCATACAGCATTTTTATTTAAATCAAGACAGAAATAAGCAACTGAAATATATAATAATTTGAAATACACAACTTTTCCATTTCTCTCTCCCTGTGCATCTTCGAGCACATCCCTCACCTTGGAATTTCTACTATTTCTCACTAACTGTTTCTCTCTCAACTTTTGGCATTCGCTTCACTTTTGCTCAAGGCTCACATTCACAGAAGTTAACAGATCATGAAAAAGGAATGACCTATTTTCTTGACAGGACAAGAGGTTAATTTGTAAAGGATTATGCATGACAACAGTGCTCAAAATACCATAGCACAGTATTGATTTGAAAACAAGAAATTACACTGAGCCAGTAAGCTCAATATCAAGGGGTTATCAAGAAATCATTACACATACTACTAATTTCTTCACACTCAATGTAAATAACATTCAAGTAGCATTCAAGGTCATAGCTGAAGATTAGAACATTTGAGTACTAGGGAGAATTATATTTATCCTAATAGGTTAAATGAACTGACATGGGTTGTCTTCACCTGTAAGGCTGGGAAACTTCTTATCCTCCTTGATACTGTATGAAAACAAGTCAACAGCTATTATTCAAAATTCTCTTTCAAATATATTTTTAAAGTGGTGAATATATTCATGCCTTTGAACTATGAGAAGCAATATGCGATTGCAACCAGAAATGTGTGAACAAAGGGGAGCAAACTAAACTAACTCTCAAACTTTTTAAATGAATTCAAGGCAAGACTTCTTTTACTTATATATTTGCAAATAATAAGATAGTTTTGAAAATTGTCTTCATTTTCAGATTCCTATAGTTTTGCTAACTGCATCAAAATTTAGAGGAATAAGGTATTTGCAATCCTTTATTAAAATCTAATCTTGAGATGTTCTTGTCCTACTTTTAAAATTAACTTTTCATAGTTTAGTAAAATTGCTCTCTATGC